TTAGCCTATAGGAGGCAGGCATGCATCCTATACCCCTTGTCCTTGCGCCTCACTGTGGCACAAGCACAACATTGCACATCACATGGAACAGTACAGTACCACATACAAGTGAGGACATATATCCCATCAAATCTCAACAGATTTCATGAACAGATTCACTTCATCCACACAATCAGAATCTCAGCTATTTAAAACAGAATAAGAAATGATTTACTTTTTGATTATTATCATGATATTTACAGTTTTATAAAACATCATAGTAGTTAAAGGTGGGGTAGGTAATGTTGGAGAAACCAGCTCGAGTGCGCTAGAATTTGAAAATACACAGCCGGAATAAATCTGCCACTTCCTTACTGAGCCCCTCCTCCAGCACACACGAACGTGCATGACCAATGAGGGCACGAGATAAGTGTGTGGACAGATGGAAAGCTGACAGGCAGGTAGGCCATCCAGTTACTTTAGCCGGGCCAGCTAAAATGATTGGTCGTGCTTTTTACAGTACTACGGCTTCCACAGATGAATTTTTTTATCAAAGCACTTCAGATATTCATCGCTATCGGGATGTTAAGAGCAAACATGGAATATAACAAAAAGTGTATCTCGAGCCGGTTTCTCAAACTTACCTACCCCACCTTTAATATTAACTTTACAATCATTATAATAATAAATGTCCTCGAAATAACCTCCATACACCTCTTTTATTTAACCTGATGGTATGCCTGTTCTTTATTATTTTATGTTGTAATTGTTTGTATTATAAGTTGACTAAGTTGTTTAGAATATTATCTTGTTTTTTTTGTGAAGACCATTAAAAAATACTTCAAGCATGTGCAAGAGAGCAAACCTCAGGCAGTCATCAGTAGAGGAGCAGGAACAGTAGTTTGAAACCAAAGCCTTATTTCCTACATTTTTCATGAATTACTATTGTACTCTTGGGGGCCTCAAAGCCTATTTGCAAAGGATTTGAATACAATGAACCACACCTTGTTTGCACCTTGAACCAACACTACAGTTAACCTCACTTACTCTTTGGTGCTATGAAGTTTAATTATGTTGAAACATAATGGGGGGGTAGCGTCCCAAACATCTTCAAGAACAATGAAAAAGAAAGTGTGACGTGCATTGATTTGTTGACATCGCCCCCTGTTGTATTTGGTGAAAAACGTAAGATGTATGTTGTTTACATTACATTACATTGCATTGCATTTAGCTGACGCTTTTATCCAAAGCGATTTATAATAAGTGCATTCGACCAGGAAGATCAGATAAGTGCATCAGGCTTCATAGAGCCAAAACATTTCAAGTGCTCTCAACTGGCTTTAGATGAGCCAGTCCTTTGTTAGTATGTAAGTGCTTTGTTAGTAATTATATCGCTCGAAGTGGATTCGAAAGAGATTAGTTTTCAGTCTGCGCCGGAAGATGTGTAAGCTATCTGCTGTCCTGATTTCAATGGGGAGCTCATTCCACCATTTTGGAGCCAGGATAGCAAATCGACGTGTTTTTGCTGATGGAAACTTGGGTCCCCCTCGCAGTGCGGGTGCAGCGAGCCGTTTGGCTGATGCAGAGCGGAGTGCACGTGTTGGGGTGTACAGTTTAACCATGTCCTGGATGTAGGAAGGACCAGATCCATTCGCAGCATGGTACGCAAGTACCAGTGTCTTGAAGTGGATTCTAGCAGTTACTGGAAGCCAGTGAAGGGAGCGGAGGAGCGGTGTGTTGTTTACACAAACTGCTTCCTTGACTTTTTCAAGGTGTGGCAAACCGAATTCCCTCTCTTTCACCACGCCTTCTAGACAAAAGCTTTATTTTTCTAAGTACAGCTGCACTGGAGCTGGATATGTGGTTACCTCTCAAAGGGAACAGAGACGGAGAAACAGTGCTGTATTTAACATCTGATGACCAGTATCACATCGGTAACTATCTTTGTTTTGAATTTTTGGGATTATTGTACTGCCAAAGTCTCCTGTCAAACTGAGAGAAATATTTAAATGCAAAGCTTGATTACTGAGCCTTCTGGTGCAGTGCAGTTTCTTAATCTATTGGCAAATGTTGTGATTGTGAAAGCTCCAGAATACCTTATTGAGGTGAGCTTTTTGTAAGACAAAAATATGTAGTTTCAAAAATCGGTATATTTTGGCCTAAAAACAGTCAAACGTAAGAAATACAGCTGTTGAACTTTAATATTAGAAAATGCAAACTTCACCACTTCAGATCGCCCAAGAAATAATTCATCCCGAAACAGAAAGACAATAATGTTCCTAGTTTCTGATATCCTCTAAAAGTGGGACTTTAATGTGCGAGCATACATTCAGTTAATTATTTCCCAGTGTAACTTCCGCTTTGATATCTTCATTTACTAAATGTTGTTTTTGCACTCTGTGGTTTTACTGGCGGCTACAGATTGACTGCAGTTTGGAAAAGTAGAAGTGAAAAATTGTCATGAATGACCCTTGCCCCTTTCACACCAACGCGGTTCCCGTTCTAGCTCCATGCTCGTGCTCTTCTGGTTCGGAACCGATTTTTCTAAGCCGGTTTCTACAGGCACATTTTACCGGCATATTTTTCATTATGATTCTACTTGTGATAGTCGGACATGACAGCCTGTGCAGCCCATGTATTGATTCCATCCGATAGCTGCTACAATACAACACAAAACATCTGCCTGCTCTCCACAATGATCAATGGGGCACATGAAGGTTAGCGTGATACTCCTGAAACGAATACTTAGTTCATCTTTTTCAGAGACTGTGAGTCGCCAGTTGAAAGTTATCAATTTATTTAAAGGAGCAGTGTGCAGGATATTGTGACATCTAGCAATCAAGCTGCAGATTACAATAATAATAATAATAATAATAATAATAGTACATGTTATTTATATAGTGCTTTTCCTGGCGCTCAAAGCGCTTTACAAGCAAGTAAAGAAGAACAATAACAACAAAAGTAAAAAGTGCTAAGCTAGTTGGAATAGGGGCAAGGGATTAGTGGATTAGGAGTTGAAGGCAAGAGTGAAAAGGTGAGTTTTGAGGGATCTCTTTTTACAACCAACTGAATACCCTTTGCACACCCCTCCCTTCAAGCATGTGTAAGTCAAAAAGCTTTATCTACATTCAGTGTTGGGTTTGACCTCGATGGACTACTGTAGAAACAAGGCAGTGCTCATTGTAAGTTAAAAAATAACCATAAGCAATAAGAAATCAAGTTAATATCTTTATACAACATTCCTAATGATCCAGGTTAGATGTGACAATTATGTAGATATTAGTTATCTGTTAAATATATCCTTTGAATTGATGCTTATCATTTTCTTTACCTGTTTTTCTTATCCCTTGGATATGTTTGTTATTATAATTAATGTTGCCCTATAACAATATAATTTGGTAAAATTCCAATGAAATAAAGAAATAAATCCTACATACTGGTTCTTTAAGATTTGAAATAAGGTTGTAAGATTTGTTCAATTAATACATTTAAATGATGTTTCCACCTGCAGCAGCAGAGCGTCCCTCCATAATGACCCCCGGTAGCTGCTGCACCTCTGGTTGAAAACACAATGAACGTCCCCATCGCCTCCATCCTGCGGGGCCTGGGCGGAAAATGTGTTCTCAACTGGGCGCTGGTGTTCTTCCAAAGGGAACACATCTGCCAAAGCTTCCTGGGAGTTTTCAGTGTGTCCCTGGCTGTTGCCGACACACTCCTGACCCTCTCCGTCACCGCCCTGCACCTCCAGGCTGAGGGACACCTGCTGGGCTTAAAGCTGACCCGGTACCATGTGTGTCTGCTGGTTCAGATCCTTGGAGAAGTCTACAGCGCTCTGCAGTGGCCGGTCGTAGTCCTGGCCGGTTTGGACCATTTCTTCTCCATCACTCGGAGGTGGCAGGCCTCCAGCAGGTTGAGCCTCTTTGTGAGCGGCCTGCTGTGGACCCTCTCTGCCCTCTACATCTTCCTGCTGTCTGATTTCAGGCCCGTCATAGAGGAAGTGTTTCACATCCAGATCCACCAGTGCTGGGTCTTCCACACCTCTCAGATCCTGCACATTGCTACGTCTCTCCTCCTGACTTTGGGCTGTGCAGCGTTGCATGCTGGATGCCTGACATTAAAACATCCTCCCTTAAAAGATCAAACTACAGACCAAAGTAGAGCTCTCTCCAGAAGAAGTTTTGTTCTCCAGACCCTGCATATATTTCTGAATACATGGGCTCTGCTCCTGGTGATCCTGGCCGTGCTCCTCCTGCTGCTTGTGGGAATCCCTGCTTACCTGGGCCTGAGCGGCGTCTGGCTCTGCTTCCTCAACAGCCTCCTGATCGCAGTGGTTTTATGTGCAGTCTGTCCCGCCTCGAAGCTGGGGATGGGCTGGGGGGCCGTGCCCCACGACAGCTTCTGTGAGTGGAGATTTACATTTAGCCTGGCTTCGGAGGACAGAGCCTGACCACACAGGTAAACACAAACAGGTCTCGTGTTGGAAGATGTGGACTTAACTCTTGAGACCTCAATGTGGACATGTTTGGTCAGACCACTACTTGGCTATAATAATAATAACAATAACAAGATGGTATTGTTCAGAGAAATCCATGAATGAATCCTAAAGACTTTGCTTAGCCCCTGGCTTTAATTTATTTTTAATATTATATGTTTTGAATGCATTTCATAAACAGCTAATAAAGTGATTAATTAAAGGATTGAATTGTTTGTTAAAATAAGAATTGTCCATGTCTATTGAATCAGTGTGGGTGGGATGCTGCCATTGTTTCACATAGTTGACCGTTAGCGTTTCGTGGCAGAATGGGCTTCTGGAAGCTTCTACTGTATCGGGAACTAGAATAGAGGAGGATTTGAGAACCTCTTCATATTGTCAGCTGACACATTTTGTCACTACAATTTTGCAATTGTGCAAGATGCAGTCATGCAACTTTGCAGATGATATATGTCCCGAGTCAATTTGACCCAAACATTACCAAAGGGTGCGAAATGTGAACATAACACAAGGGAAAAAAACATGTTTTCATATGGCCAACAGGCCTAAACCTAAATAAAAATGTATAAAAGCTCTCATTGAACAGTTATTTTTCTGTCAATCAACTAATGAGTGTATCAGGTAATTGTTTCAGTTTTGTAATGTTTGAATAATTTCTTGGAAATCTAAATGAACACAAGTTTGGGTATCAGTCTCCTATCTTATCGTGTTCAGTTTTAGTTATAGGTGTTTACTCTACTACTGAATTTTGTCTCAGTTTTATTGGTGTTGTTTTTCAGACAGGCGCAGTATGAGTCTGACTCTTTGTTCTCCAAAACGACCATTTGAATGCAAAGTCTGCGAGAAGGCCTTCAAACACCAACACCACCTGATCGAACACATGAGGGTGCACTCCGGGGAGAAACCCTTTCAGTGCGACAAGTGCGGGAAGTGCTTCTCTCACTCCGGATCGTACTGCCAGCACAACTCTAGATGCAATGCACGAAGATCCGTCCTGACTCCGACCCGGTTCGAGACCTCTCTTACCTCATTCATACCAACGCAACTCCGGTTCAAGCTCCGTGCTAGAGCTTTTCAGGTTCAGAACCGGTTCTTCGGTTTAGCTCCGGCTCTTTTCACACCGCCCAGAGTCCGTCTGGTGCTGCGTCATTGCTTGCGTCATGACGTAACCGTTTGCGTGCCTGCTTCATAAAGCCAAACCGCGCGGAAACCCCTCACAGCTCACACCGACAACAACAACAATGGCCGATTGTGTTCCAGCTTCCTCCGTACCTCTTCAGAAGACCAGATTCCCAGTAGGTAGCTGGTCTCTTCAGTGG